TTTATTATTTTCTTTCTAACAATTTCTTCAAGGTGTTTCAACTATCCTTTCGTTTCTTTAACTTTCTCTTTCATGGATGTCGTGTTCTTTGGAAGTTTGTTTAGACCAAGTTAATGGCCTTTTCAGGCTTCCTCCATAAAAATAAAAAATTCACTTTCTGAATAATAAGAATTGTCACAGGGTTGGAGCATCAGGATTTTAGAGATGCTTAGATCGGGTATGGTCAAAAAAAGATTGGCAATTACTGCTTTTAAAATTTTAAAAATGTGTGGTACTAACAGCGACTTTATATTTCTCTCTGATTTCTTACATTTCTATGTGGACGTCTATATTACGTAATGTTTATATTCCGAATCATGTTAACAGTTAGTTTTATCATTTGATGGTACAATTATGATAAATCAAACATTAGTCGAAAACCTAAACGAAAATTACATTAAATAGACATCCACGCGTTCAGAACCGTAAAGTCGCTGTTAGCACGAGTTCGCAATGTCAAATGATGTTGCCATTATTTAAAAGAACTATTAAGTTGTGACCTATGGTTCCTTGGAAAAATTTTATCTTTACGATAAGTAGAATACAATGCAAAAAAAAATTTCATCTTGTAATTCAAGATCAAAGTCAATTTTACATGTATAGAATTCATCTATGAATAGCCATGAACAAATTTTTCTTTCCACCCTGTACACTGAGCATCGCGACTAATGGTTAATTCCGCCGTGAGACTCGAATCTGTGATATTTATTGTCCGATTTCACGCGAACTCGCGATTTCTCCTTTGAAAATTCTTTTTATCACCTGTTGTCTAACTGATTGTAAGAAAACTTTCTCTGCGGCTGCAACCTCCGCTAATTACCAGTCTTTGGACGATCGCTCGTTTCATGGTTGACGTTTTCCTCACGGAATTTCTCTGTAGAATCTCAATTCGTTTCCGCCTCGGATGCGACGTCCAATCGAACGGCCATTTTTCGAAGACTTAGCTTCTAAATTCCATCCAGGGAGTGATCTTCTGCGATGACGCACGAGCAAAGGACGATACCTCGCTGAGAAATTCCCTCGATCAGAAAGCGAAACGTATCGAAACTGGCTACGTGATTCCTCGACTCTTCTTCTGCCCGGAGAGAATTCGTCTTTCGTGGCAACGAACGTCGATGGACAAACGTGGCACAGCAGTTCCGTGAGTGAATCAGTGCTGGTTCGTCGAAAATCTAGAGGGACGGCTCTCGTTTCATACTCTTCTTCCAGCGATTTACCATTTGATGGCCGTCGCTTCGCGCCATCTTCTCCCGTTTCGTTTTCGAGCTAGACAGCTCGCTCGAGACAGACGCCGAAAAGAGCAACCGCGTCCTTTTCAATTTTTGATTTCTCCACGGTGAAACTGACTCGAAATCCGGACGAAACGACGGGGCAACAGTAACGAGGTGAACGTTGCAAAAAAATTACTTTATTGTTTTATGGAACTTTCATTCCAACAAGGCAAGACTTTCAACCTCGAAACCTTAGTGATATAGAAATATTGCAATAGTGGCTGCAATACTATATTATCATTAGTTGTAATACTACCTATAATTTTGGATGATCAATCAATGCTAACACTGAGTAAGTGACAGTCTTCCAAAAGTGACCTACGAACACTTATTATACAGGGCAAATTCCAGTAGTTGGTCATCCTAACGCTTCTTTTCAATTTACCATAGACAAAATTATAAAAAGACGCGCTAAGAAGAGAGCAAGACTCTTTTTCATCAAACAGATCTTGTAACATCGTAGAATAAACGTAGAATCTTAAAAATATTAAGTGTCGTTTCTTTACGCGGGATCCAAATACTATTGTACTGTACCCATAAGTAATGTCGTTTTTTCATACTGTACAAAATTTTATTTTATTTTTGAATTATTATCACTAGGCGGCAATATTTATCAAATTTGAAAAAAAAAAAAAAACGATATTACTTATGGGCCTAATATATTATATATGCTATTCCAATTTTGTACCGTGGCCAAAGTATCTCAGAACGAGTCATGTGTGACTAATTCCTAGCAACGTCTGCGCCGCGATTCGTCAAAGAAATACAACAAACGTTGGAGACTTCGGCTTGAACGGGGTGCAACTTGGCTCTCACGTGTCGCAAAGTTTCCACGGCAAGTTTCAGCGTTTGAAGGAGAGAGGATAGGAAGAAAATGGTGGTTGCATCGCCGGCTGCCCGGGCAACTCGACTTTCGCAATTACGTAGTCGATATCATGCAAATCTACAGCCGGCGACGGGTCTGCCTTGTCGAATACGATTGACGTAGAACCGGCGTGTCCATATTCGAAAAACTTTCGCCGCTTGTGAGCTACGCGCTACGCGCTACGTGCCCTCGCCTCGCGATCGTTTCATTTGAATTTCACTGAGATTTCCGAGGGAAGGAGAGGAGCGAAAGGGTGGAATTTTCGCGAACCCAGTCGAAATTTCCTCTCGAAGGAAACTGTTTCATCTGTTCACTGTTTCCCTCGATGCTGCTAAAGTTATCTCGCTGGATCGAAGAAAACCATTGCACGGCTTCTAAGGAATTTTGTTTTTGGGCACAGAACCACTCGTCAATAGGCCAGGGAACAAGCTCGAATATACATACGTACGTACGGAGTTTTACGAGCGACGTCAACAACCGGGACGAAGTAGTTGCCGCGGGATGATTTATAGCACTCACCCTGACGGGGGCGAAGATCTGGTCGGGCTTGATGTTCTCGAGCCTGTGCTCCTGCTCGCCTTTGTGCAGCAGCTGCAGGTGCGGCTGGAAGTGCGCCGGACAAAGGGTGCCGAGTGGAAGAGGCGACGCCCATCCCGGCAAATGGGGTGGATCACGAGTGCCTAGTTCCCTGTAGAAGGACTTCAGGAATCTGCAAGCACCAAGCCTCGCTGTATTTTAGCCGACCAACCGACCCGCGTCATCAAGACGCTGAAACGCCACTCCGCCAATTTGCTTTATTCGCGCAAGTATCCGCGACTAATGGAATTCTGGGTTGGCATACGCGAATTTTCCTCTCGGCACGTCCCGAATTGCTGTTGAATTGCGTAAGGTAGTCAAGTAACACAGTCGAAGGAAAGGAAGAACATTTTTCCCGGCGTTCGAGCCCGGCTCGTAGTCCTTATCGATTCTCGTAGTCGATTTTCCGAGAGATTTAGGGAAATTTAGAAAGGCGTTGCGGTTTTCAACGGCCATCGATTAAATTTGAACGGTGCCGGAGGGTAGGGAACCGCCGTCACGCAGGGCAGACTCGTTTAATTCAACTTTAAACTCCGTCGGCCAATCCCCCTCGTTCGACTCTTCTTGCTCGACTTTTTACAACGTCCCGCCCAAAATTCCAATTAGTCCGAGTTAGTAAGCGCGCCGCCACCGGTGGATCGCTTATCGGATGACTGGTTAATTTCCCAGGGCGACGAAACCGTAGTCATGCTAAGTAGCAACTTTCCGTTGAACGATGCGCTCGTTGCACGCCCAACGGTGGCAAGATTGATGATCTCGCGCGATGCCGGTAGCAGGCCGATCGAGCGTGGAAAGGATCGAGCGAGGATAGCGACGGAGAGGCGGGGGAGAGGGGGAAGTGGAGGAGTTTTACTGCTTCCGGACGATTTCCCCGACGGGAGGAAGAAGCGAGCTACGATTTTATGGGACGCGGCTGGTCCCGCTCGATGACGATTAGCTCTTTATTTATATTATTGCTCGCGTTCTATCGCGCCGTAAATTTCTCCCTCGATCAATGGCATCTGATTTAAAAGTCTCCTCGGCGGAGGATTTCAGTAGAGTTCCGAAAGGACGATTCGCGGTCAAAAGATCGTCGAAAGAAATATCGAATAGAAACGAATACTAGGTTGTTACTTGGCCGCCGGAGAATTGAAAAACGCATTCACTCGGAGATCCGACCAATGACTCTTCTTCTCTCGCATAATGGCGGCTCATAGCCTCGAGTAAATGAAAGAAACGTTCAATCGCAGAACACTCTCGCGGAATTCGGTAGCCGACGCAACGGCAACAGAAGGTTCAAACAGTGGCGTGTCCTTGCGAAAGGAGAGAGAAGAGAGAGGTAAACTGACCTTAACAGTCTTCCGAGAGGATCCCTTTCCGGGGACGGCGGGCCTCCAGTTGCGGCGGCGAGTCTCCGCGAGGACGCACGTGCGCTCGATATGTATGCGGCCGGTGCGGGCGGTGGGCTGCACGGCGGGCAACAAACGGGGCTGCTACCACCCGGGGTCGAGAGGGTATAACTTCTCTCCAATTCCTGAAACAAAAGAAGAGAAAAGCCGCTTTAGCAGGTCCGTTCGACTGCTCGCCTTCGTTTCCGCCCTCCCCCTCTCCGCTTGTCGCGTCGTTTCAATATGGCGCCGCTTCTCTCATCGTGCGTTTCTATTGTCTGCTGCCCGAACCGCCGCTTCTGCGGCGACTATCTCGGACGAATGAACGTCCGGTTGGAAAATTGATCTTCCTCGGCGTCGCGTTCCGTTTCCTCTTTTTCTTTTTCTTTTTTTTTT